GCCAGTGGCTAGCTGTTGCCCCCAAATACTAAGGGTTCAGCCCAGAATTCCTGAGATAATTGCTCTTTGACACTGGTCTAAGGAAGTCTGTCTGTTTAAGTCACATCCTTACTCTTTCCTAACAATGTAAGAACTTAGAACAAATAAAGCTCAATCACATACAATTGCCATGTTATTGATGGTAATAGTTTATTCGTGGATTCACCATCTTATTGATGTAAGTTATTAACTTTTTAAAAAATCCTGTGAGGACATCAGTATTATTATTTTGACAATCAGTTCTTATTCAGGTTTATCCACATATTTGTGTCCTTTGTTCTTGCACCTCAGACCCTGCTTTCCTGGGAATATCTTCTTTGTGCACATTATTCATCCTTTGGCCAGTGCTATCCAGCCATTAGCCACATATGATGACTTAAATGTAAGGAAATTAACATTAAACAAAATTAAATTCAGTTCCTCAGTCTGAATAGTCACGTTTCATGTGTTCAATAGCCACATGTAGCTGAGGGATACTTTTCTATTCTTGTAGAAATTTCTACCAGACAGTGTTGCTTTAAAATGTCATTGATGAGGGTTTTGGTAGGGCACACTTTCTCACTTTCTGTTTATCTAAAATATCTTCACTTTGCCCTCCTTTTTAAAAAATCTCATGAGTATAGAATTCTGGAATGTAAATTCTATATTCATTTGCATATAACAAGGGAAGGGCCAGTGTGTGTAAGCATTCAGCTTCAAAGCCCAAGGGTCACAGTCTCTCTCCTTAAGTTTGATCCCTGTGTGCTGCCCCAAGTGGTGAGCAGCAGGGGCCTGGCCCCATGTGTTCCTGTTCCTGAAATGGTTTCTTCTGACGTGGAGCATCTCATCAGTGGCCCATGGATACCTGTACCACGGATACAGTGGCCCAAATGTTTCCAGCATGGAGGTGAAATGACAATTAACTAATTACTGTCAGTTGATGAAATTTCTCCAAAGGGCCTAAAATATTTTAATTAAGTGCTTATATTGAAAAGCCAGCCAAATAATCATTTTATTTTCTGTTTCAGCTTTATACACAAGACTACCAATGTATCAGTTGGCTCAACCAAAGCACTTAATTGTAATATCATTTACTGTGGGCGAGAAGCTGTACTAAGCCCTTTGCACAGGTTGGTTAACTTTTTATTAGAAAAATATATGAATATATTTACATAACTAGCTTTAAACCTGGAGTATCACTACGAATGCATTACTTTAAAATATTGTTTCCAACCTTGTTTCTAAAGTGGCCCAGCAAAGATGCACTCCTTCCTTCCACAGTATGCATGAGTCACTCCCATATGCACCCTGGCAGGCCCGTTTCGGTTCCAGTACTTCACTAAATGCAAAAGAGAAGTCTTCCAGGGTAACTAATTCCATGTCTTGGGCAGAGAAAAGCAAGATGTTATAGAATATCATGCTGCTGACAAAAAGCAAGGATTGTTTTAAAAGAGTGTCTAGAATAATTCTGAAAGAACAATGCAGTCAGGTGACAACAATCTGAGAAGCCAAGAGAGAATACTAATGATCACAGTAATTATAGATATTTGGAACAAGTTGAGACTAAAGATTCAGAAGTTGAAATCTTCATATGAAGGAGACAAAAGGTAACTTATTTAAAATTATTTTAGAGGTGATTTTAATTAGAATTAGATTCCTAATAAGTTAATTTTCTGCTTAAACATTTTATCTTTGTATTGAAGGAATTGTTATAGGTTTATGGGTTAAAGTATGAAAGGCATGGGGCTATGATGAGTTTTAGAAAAATAAGTTCTGCCCCCAAAACAGAATGTCAGATTGCTTCTGAGAATCACATAAATTGACAAGTAGAGAGCAGATCAAACAGCATGTGACAAAATGACGAATTTGCCAAATGTCCTGGAAGGGCAGCTGATGACAAGATGCAACCCCACGTCACCTGAGATGCCAGACTACTGCAGGACCATTCACAGAGGCAGGAGGTGCCCTGCCCATACCGTCATGGGGGAGGCCATGCACCCGGGAGAGCTTTCGTGCGGTGTGATGTGGCCAGTGAACCTCGGCAGGTAGAGGGAGCCCAGCACGAGGAGCATGGCCTCTGTTCTCAGCCCCTGGAAGATGAAACCAGTGTATCCTGATCAAGGATCCTCACTGGCAACTGAAAGTTTGCATCCTGGCTGGGCTGAGGATTTATTTTTTTGTTCTAGGGGAAGCAAAATTGTTTAATTGCTTAGAAGTTATGAGCATATGAATTGCTATTAACTCACAAAGTAGAAACATTAAGAACAATACAAATGAATCTAAACCAGTGTTTTTTGAAAAGTTAGGCAAAAATGTCCCAAGAATTTTTGTAATGATTACTTTCAAAAATTACAGAGTGTTTTCTCTTCTGATTCTAAGGCTAATTAAAAAACTTAAGAGAAGCTGACATATTATTTTAACTAGAAAAATGTTTAAGGTAAGTTGATGATGGCTTCAGTGAGTCTGAGTAGATTTACTTATAAAGCTAATTTTAAAAATTAATCACAATATTTACAACTAGTGGTATGTATTTATGTGGAAGTATTGAAATGCTGAGAAAAGTAATACTGGATATAGATACCTTGAGCATTAAAGAAAATACGAGTTATCTCTCTGTACATGTAAGAAACATTCAAAGCATAAATCTGGCACCAGTAGGCAGAGTCCTGTGTGTGTGTGTATGCGTGTGTGCATGTGCGTGTGGTCCCCGTGTGTCTGTATGTGTGTGTGCGCGTACATGAGCCTGGGAAAAGCAGTTTCCATTTCATAGTGTTTTCAACATATAAATCTTATCTTCAAATATTGAAACAAAAGAGAAATGTAACATAGATTCTATTCACTTGTTGCGGAAAATGGGAGCAAGTCAACTGTCAGAGCGCCCGGGACCTGTGCCCCACAGCCTGGCAGCAGTGTCCCCGTGACAAGGATCTCAGCAATGAAGGGCCTTGTACCACAGGCTTCTGTCGGGGGCGGGATGATTATGTGTGTTTCATTGGTTTGCTTTAACAATGAAAGTGAGAGCTTAGTACTTCTACAGAGTGCTCCATGTAGTTACAGAGGTTCTGTTTTATAAATCTCCAAAGTGTTAGGTAAATTATAAAATTTCATTTTTCAAATGTAAAGCCAAGCTTAGATCTGAGATAGGAGCATTTGTATTACAAAGCAAATGATAAGCTGAATCCAGTGGCCCATTATTTTAATACAAAGAATGATATGATAAAATGAATATTTTTGTTTAGTCATAATATTTTGGTCAGAGTCAAAAGATTGGCAAATATATCAATTCTTAGTAATTTTGATCCAGATCTCATAAGCAGCAGCGTTTCAGCTGTTTTCCCAGCAATGCAGTTCACATCCTGCCACTGCTCCCAGTAACACATAACATCTCTTCCTGAGGGATCTCCCATATTTGTCCGGAAGCTGCACCACAGATCAGGGGCCGATGGGCTGATGGAGCCCAGGAGTAACTTAGCAAGAACCACATGCGTGAGAACTTGTAGAGAGGAAAACAAGGCTCATTGCCTGACGTAACTACTGGTAAATGGTGTGACCTGGGAGAAGCTGCATTGACTTGCGTGGTGGACGAGAGAGACAAGGATTGGATGGCAAGATATTTAATGCCCCTGCAAACAGGGATGTCTATGATTCTGAATAAGAAGGGTCTTCTTTTTCAAAACCTTATTCTTCCTCTGAACTCAAAGTTGCTAAACCAGGGTTTAGGAATACCTTCCTCCTCTCAGAACGTGGTAATAGTCTTATGTAAGTTGAGGCAGTCCAAAGATCTATCACTAATATTTTTTACTCAGCTGAAATAGTTACTTTCAATGTGCGTGAAATCTATCAATGTCTCTAAACCTGCAAATGAACCCACGGGCTCCAGTGTGGCCACGGGCGCACATACACACAAAATCCACTTCCCTACCACTTGCAGGCCAACCATTTCATGTCTACCACTTTCTGTCTAATTTTCTCTCCATGTTCCATGTTTCATCATGAACCAGACTTTGGAAGAGAGAAGGAGCCAGGCTCTATTGAAGGCCCTGAGGGGCTCTTTAAACACTATTAATACAAGGACTGCAGAACAATAGCTCGGGTGTTCAGTACACGTGTGTACCGAACATGTGCCCATTTCATGTCCCTTATTTAATGAATATTTTGATATTCCAACAGCAGTACCAGACCTAATTTATATGAGGGGAAAAGTGCTTCAATAATATTTGTCTTCTTTCCAGGCAAGGACCTCAAACTTCATTTTTTTTTTAAATTATTGAAATCCATTATCCTTCAGATGTTCTATATGAAAGAAGTGGAAAAAAATTTCCAGATGTAGCAGTTATTCTACACAAAGAGAATATAAATGCTCCAATACATTTTTCTGCATAGTTAAATAATGCTGGGAAGGTGCTGAGGGGGGCTTCACTTCATAATGGAGTAAACAGAAGTTCCTAAATTTGAGTCCCAGTAATGGTTGTTAATCACATGCTATATTCCTTTCAATTTGGAAAAAAAACATGGGGGATTATTGTCTTTCAACTTTTATTTCATAGAAGAATGCTATTTGCAATTGGAATCTGTATATTTAATTAGTGCTCTAGAAACCCAACTCTCTGGGGAAAGTCACGTTTAATCAGTTTAGAGTATATAATGAACATTCAACAAATAACTACTGATTGTTCTATTACTGTTCTCTAGCAAAGATTTCAATATCTTCCTAAAATAGGCATTTTAAACAGCAGTAATCAGTAAATATTAATCTCTTTGTGTTTCACTTTGTGTTTGATAATTTAAATGCCATCATAAATAACATTATGATGTTATTTATGTAACAGATAATAGTATTCCCTATACACACAGAGAGAAAGTAATACATACACCACTACAGAATGTATGCATTTGTACATTTTTTAATATTTTAGGGGTAAAACAATATAATTTAATTCAAATTTCATTCAACTTCTCTTAAAAATATTTTCCTACTTGAATTCAAATGTATTATTTTAAACAAATAAGTAGGTAAAGTTTAAAAATCAGTAAGGGAAAGAAGGTAACACATCATTGCAATTTGTTACAAATACTTCGTTTTCTCTTTAGAAAAGAGAGCAGAATGCAGTGGATTTCACTATCTGTAAATCTGTTAAATACCAGCTACCAAAGTGATTAATTCTTTTGTAACATAAGATGATCACTTGTTAAATTTGCAGTGAATTCATGATGTTGATGCTCAGCTATGTATTAAATAAAGCCTATCATTTTTGTGTTGAAGCTTTCCCAATCTACATACACCTTTTGGGGAAAAAATGTATATCCTTCACTAAGGTGGGTCATTCATATATTACTATACTGAGATCCTGAAAATCCTTTGTTATTCCTTTAAAGAAACATTAATAGAGATATGGTCCTGTGTTAGCTGGACTTTAACACGGCCCCCATGATCTCAGCCTGCTGACTCAAGTCCTTATGTAACCCCCTCTCGTGAGCCTGCACAGGACCTGAGACTTGCTTCTACCCAACCAAGTGGCCTAATCACCCCACACTGAAAGAAAATAAATTTAGGATTACATTTAGTTCAGATGAAATGGATGAAGGGTACATTTGCACTGTTTGTTAAGTACAGAGTTTATATCTGGGCAAACATTTCATTAGAAAATACACAGTTCTGTGAGATCATTAGGTGATTGCTATAATTTACAAGGACTCTAATGACCAATTAAAAGAAAAATAAGATCATCACAGATGGAAATACTTCACACATTTTGCTGACTCTGAGTTTCCTGTTGCATACCTGAGCCCAATACTAGAATTTCACAGCTGACATTCAGTACTCATTTCATCACTGAAATGTATCCAAACTGACTGAAAAGAGACAAATAATAAAACAATCAGGCAAAAAAATGTTTTTTTTTTTCAGTCTTCTAATCCATCACTGGCCACTCGGCTCCGGTTCACTGGAAGATGAAAAGCCCCATGAAGACCATCCTGAGACACACTTCCAGGTTTCAATGTCTGATAAGGAAGCCTAACAAAGGTTTCCAGCCACAGAAAACATCAGAATCCAACTTTTAACTTTTATAAACTTCTGTGCTGTATTAATAAGAGAGTAGGGCCACAGCTCAAATCCTGTTCTCACTTAAAACCCAAAGTCATCATGTAAAATACATTTCAGTTTTCGAAGATTAGGTCAGAACAGTCGGACACAGCCCAACAGCGAGTAATGAGCATGTCTAAGTCACCGTTACATAAACAGACCACGACGATCGTAAGCAGAGCCTACCAGGACAGGGCGTGAGCAAGCCGTTGGCTTGTGCACTACAAGGGGGGATTTGATCCCTTAGCAAGAAATCACATCATCTTATGTAAGTAAACCCATTCTGCTGATCAGAAGAAATACTCTTTCTGGCTTTCACTGCCTGTGCTCTGCATATTGAGCTCACTTTTCAGAGCAGACTCGGCTCTGGTGCCATGTTTTGGACTATTTGACTCGTTTTTCTGGTATAACCATCTCTGTCGATAAATGCGAACAGCTATGGCAGTGACGCAGAGCAAGATGAATATCACCACTGTTATCACACCTAGTGGGGGAAGAGAAAGGAGAAAGAAGTTCAGTCAGAAAGAAACTGTAAATGTCAGCCCACCTTGAATCTACTCTACCATCATTCATATCATACCAGTGGTATTATGATATTAAGGTTACTTCTAAGGTCATACAACCTTAAGAAACAGCAATTTTATGCCTTATCCTAAAGACATAGATGACTGGCCTTCAGTTAGTGCCTTCACACTGACGTTCAGAAACACGTGGCCTCTTAGGTCATGCCCACACTTCACATTAGTGAGCAAGGAGGTTTTAATTATTTTTAGAGAATGTATGGCCATATCACAGAGTAATTAAATGCTTATGTATAAATATTTTAATGCAAATATTTATGTGAAGTACTTTATTAAAATTTGATTCAATTTTGATGCCCATGTGTTGTGGAACTGGAGTACTATGTTATGTGTGCCACCTGTCTTTACAGAGGCCAGCAGAGTCTTAATTGATCTTTGGCTCTGGGGTCCACGCCCTCAGGAGCCCCCTGCTGTTACTTACGGGTGGGGCCTGAAACTCACTTCTACCCATAACATAGGACACAGTGATGGGCTGTACCTGATTGTGCGATCGATCATGTTACACAGACTGTGGCACCTGTCTTACGGGAGTCTGTCTCTCCCTGTTGCTGTGAGGTGGCAGTCGTGCTGGGAATCCCCACATGGCAAAGAACTGCAGGCGGCCTCTAGGGCAGGCTCTGTTCAGCAGCCAGCGGAAGTCCGGATGCTCTCAGTTCTACAGCGCAAGACCCCGAATGCTGCCAACACCATGGCAGGGAGGAAGTGGGTCCTACCCCAGAGGAGGCTACAGAGGAGACCCCAGCCCTGGCTCACAAATTGGCTGCAGTCTCTTGAGACCCTGAGCAGAGGCCCAGCCAAGCTGTGAAATAGATTATTTGGCATCTCTCGTTGGAAATGATTTAAGAATTGAAAACACCAGCCAGTGGCTCTCAACCTCAGCTGCACAGCAGGCAATAAATAAGAATCTCTGAGCAGCAGGTCTGGACATTATTGTTTTAATGGTTCCTCAGATTATTCTAAAGCACTGACAGGGGGCTGAGACTGTCAAGGTTGGCCTAGTGTTTACTGAAGCCGGTGAAGAATGAATGTCCAATCAATAACCAAGACAAACAGGCACAAAGCAGCATTCACTAGTCAATATACTTTTAAGATGATTGACACAGGCATTAACTAGCATCTCTAGTAAATGTTAGAAAACACATCATGGCTTAGTTATGTGAGTCAAAATTTGTCTTGTTACATGAGGGTTCTTCATACTTTGGGACAGAAGTGAGCAAGTGTAATTGAGCCCAACTTACTCCAAGCTCAATGGTGTAACTGGTCCCAGGGATTCCTGCGCATGCTCTCAGGAACCCGGACTCCTCCCTTGCAGGGATGAGGTGGTGTATGCATGATTTTGTGAATATTCTTAAATCCTCACAGGTAGAATAGTCATTACTTTCTCCTTTCAAAATATATTTTGCATCTCACTTGGAAACAATGGAGTGTTTTAATTATTTTTATATTGAGTTATAGGGCTTTGCTTTAAAGATCTGTATCACATCCAATTTTCAGTTGTAAAGGACCAGTAACTCTCAATAACAGTGACTAGGCCCCTTGTTTACACAACTAGTATCACTATTATACTGAAATATTCAGGAGTTTATGTATGTGATCACTAGCTTGCTTGTTCTGTGAGCTTTGGTGGGGTCCTAAAATAACTACTACATTCACGCACTGCCTGAAGAGGTTGAGATCATTTGAGTAAGGCCGAGAATTCTACCTAGACTAATACACTGGAGGTCAGTATACCCAGCAGCCGAGAAGCCGCACAGCAGCTGGCCACTGCACGTGCGACCGGCTGAGATGCTGTTTTTCCAGAATTGTGTCTCCGAGGTGATGAGGAATCACACCAGCAGCAAAGAGTCGGAACGACCAGCAAAGCTTCTAATGAGGGGTGAGAAGGCATGAAGACCACTCCTGCTAATCAGGGGTTCCATCCATCCTAAAGGAGAGGATGTCTTTAGGGCTGCGCCGACTTCGGGGCAACTACATGGAGACCAGGAGTTCCTGGCCTCGCGGCCCAGCGCGGATTCTGTTTTTGGGTTCCGCGAACGGCGGCAAGGCCGGGGCCAGGCCACTGGGGCCGTTACCTCCGATGACCGCAGGGTCCCTTCTGTCCGCATTAACTGAGGGCTCGCCCCCATCTCGTGGTCCTGACCGACCTACAGGAGAAAAAGGGAGGAGGACAAAGGCGAGTGGGAAGGCGGCTTCCGAGGCCCGCCAGCACGAGGGAAGGCGGGCAGCGGCGGGGGCGCACGAGCAGCCGCGGAGGGAGCCGACGGGCGCCCCGGGGGCCACGGCCACGCACCTGCGCCTCCCGCCGGCCGCCAGGTGGCCTCCCGCGCCGGCGCTCGGGGCTCCGCGCTCTGGGCGCAGCCGGGCGCGGCGGCCACGGGTCCGCGGACGGTGGCCGAGCCGGGGCGGCCGGGGCTCATCGCGGCCTTGAGCGGGGCAGCGGGCCCGAAGCGCACGGCCGAGAGGCAGCCGGTGAAGCCGCGCGCGCCGGCCCGCAGCGTGGCGGCGTCGGCGCCCAGGGGCCCTGCGGGCAGAGGAGGACAGGGTGAGCGCGGCGCGCCAGGAGGCCTGCCGGGACCACCGCGCAAACGGGTGGGCCTCAAATGGCCATTAATCTGTTGTCAGGCAGGCTGTGTGGCCAGTGACCTAGGTGGTTGGTGAAACGTCTCCTGGGCTTGGGGGTGGGGCAGCGCGCTGGGAGCCTCCCGACGGATACCCCAGGAGCCCCTTCCTGAGCCGTGACCGCCGTGGGGACCCCAACCCCACATTCTTGGCTCCCCTTCATAGGGGTGCGTGTCCTCTTCCCAGACATTGAGTTTTGTCCCCCAGTCTGGCCCCCGCCCTCACCCCAAGAGGACTGAGGTTGGGCGGCTGAAGAGCAGCGATTAACCCAGGATAGCAGGATGATCCGTCTGTTTGGATGATGCTGTGACCCCCGAGGAAACCACCTCCGTGTGAGGGCACTTGGCCTCTGCTGTCAACTCCCTGCCCCGCCGCCGTGTGTAGCCAGGTCCGTTTCCTTGCCTTTTTCTCTGAGCTGAATCGGCTCCCGCAGGCTGCGCGTTTTGCTGAACGCCCACTGAGGTTAGTTAATTCTCACAGCAAAACACGGTGCTTTCCTTCGTATCTGAAGTTAGTGGCATAAGATTCTAGTAACTAAGGTCACTCAAGTGGGGGGACCTTTTCTTAACACGTTATTTTCCATTTATGCCTTTTGGACATATTTCAGATTCAAACTCTGGGACTAGGGTGTGTGAGCACACTGCCTGCTGCCTCACCTGGGGGATCAGTTACAGAAAGTCAATCTCCTGGATTATCTGTGTCTCTCACATCACAGGTGGCGAGCTGCTGGTAGCCAGTGTTTTATTCCCCCTACCCCTGCACTTAGTGTGTTCCACAGGATGTACGCAAGATGTTTTAAAATCAATAAACTGAATTCTATTCACCACCATTCTGTGGGCAGTTTGGCTGTCGAAACCTTTTCAAATGTGGCACTCTCAAGGTATGGTGCGAGTACAGAACACCCACCTGCCATGAAAGGTTACTTGCATTGGCTCAAGGTAAAGATGCACTCCCACAGTTGGCAGCCACCTCACACTGTTGAGCTATACTGAATGTCAAGGTAACAAAAGTTATCTCTGTCCTCAGTAAAGTTAAGGAAACTACCTTGAAGCTTCTTCTATTCAAAGGGTGGCAAAATTCACCTCTCCAAAATATGCCATCTTGGCATAAGGATTACTTTGAAAACAAGTAGGTGCCAGAAAGATACTCTGACCTTCTGTTTTTTTTTTCCCCCTGCTAGTGGAGTACAACTCCTGGGAAAAGCTGCCTCCCTGCACCAGGAGGAAAGAGGAACTACCACAGCCAGAGATGGGAGTCCAGTCTGAGAGCATCTGTCCATCCAAACCTTGGTAAGGGAGTCTGGTCTGGCTTTCTTCTCCCTGCACAGTGTTATGGCCCAGAGTCAAGACTGTTCACCCTAGTATACAAACACTTGGGCCTGTTTGCCTGTGGGATCTTCATTGTCCTACAGGGGTTCCACTGTGTATTTTTTAAAATAGGTATGCTTTTCTCCTGTATTGTTTATATCCACTTAATTCTCAGGCCCAGTAACAGAACCTGAGAGGGAGGAGGTAAAGTTGTGCTTCCCTACAGACTGGTGAGGGGGTTCTTCAATTTTACTATAGGCTCACCTTCTGCCTATTCAACTCCATCTCAATCTTTCAGCCTGTCAATTTGTGACAGCCAAGTCTCTTGTGTTTTATTCTTTTTGGTTTAGCAAAGAGCTGTACCTTCAAGAAAAATGGCCTAACTTTGAGACTTTCATCAAATCTATTGGCGGCCACTTGGACTTATGAAATTCTGTTCAGTGATTTTAAAGTTGCAAAAATAAATATTTCCTATGTAAAAGACTGACAAAAACTAAAATATCTTTTACCTTTCCTCTTCATTCCTCTAAATCTTTTTCCAGGACACTATGTAAGGATAACCAGTGATGACTGTCTCCTTTGGATAACCCAGTAGAATTCTGAAAAATCGTACTTACTTGAATTCCCAGAGTTTGTGTGTGTGTCTGACTTTATTTCCTTGAGTGACAAATTCCATCCTAGTTGTTTTCTGTCTTCTTTAATAGCTCTATTTTCATGTGGGAAATTTCATTTGTTATGTGACCCTTGCTTTTAGATTCCCTTAGGAGTGGCATTAGTATTTTCTTACTTATTGGTCTGCTTATTTGGGACTCCACAGTTAGGGGTCTCATATGACATCAGGGTCCTGACAATGTGGTGGGAGCCTCTCCAGCACACCATCGGGGCCCAAACCAAGTGTATCAAGCGGCCTCTCTCCCTCACCTTCCCCATACTAGAAGGAATGTCGTCCACTGATCCAGCTCCTCCTCAGATCTGGGAGGGACATCGAGAACAGGCAGTCATGCTGAGCAGTGTGACCTTCCCTCTGGAGGTCCCCAAGTTCTCTGGGAGTCAAGTGTTTCCCAGGGTCCACACCTCCCCCCCGCCCTAGATGGCTATGCTCTCCTCCAGCCCAGAGGGCAAGTCCCACCCCAGCTCCATCACTCATAGCTTCCCACCACCCGCTTCCTGCTGGCTGGGCTGCCAGAAGCTTCTCATTCAGGGGCCCAAGCAGGTCTAACCGGAATGGAGACAAATGTTATGGTCCAGGCAGCTGACTCCCAGAACTGCTGTCACACGATTAACAGAACTGTGCTTAGAAAGACAATGAGGGCACCTCTAGCTTCCCTAGTAGCTGACTCCTGAAATTCAGTCATTAAGGTTCTTTCTTTTTGGCTCCAAAATTTTCCTCCCTTTAAAATGTAAATTAAAAATAAAATGTGGGGGAAACCTTAGGAGAATACTTAGTGCATAATTAGGAATTTATGCATCAGGGAGTAAATATCTGACCAACTCCTACCGAGAGAAGACAGGTATATTAACAGGAAGTAAGGGGTCAAGTGCAGCTTGGAACTAGACAAGGAGGGGCTGGGAGAGTGGTCAGAGTGTGGTCATGCAGCAAAGCAATGTTGAGGAAAGAGTGGGCTAAGGGCCAAGGATAAAGTGCACAACCACTGTAGTTTTGGGTACAACCCCTACATCACTTTAAATAAAAACATCTATTTTCTCTCTTAAAAAATGTCTATGGTAGGAGATGTTGAGAACACAAATTTCCAACAATTCAGAAGGTAAAAATTCTCAACTATTTCAGGTGTTGGGTAGTGTTGCCCTTAATATATATATACTGCCAAGACTGTGCATTCCAACTTGTGGGGTAATTTGTGCTTTTGTGAGGAAGAACATTTTTAAAAAAGGTTTGCAAGGAAAAGAAAGGACCAAGGAATTCAAATGTGTGTGAAGAGCTGCCTGCTCCCCACAATGAGCAGAGCCTCAGAAAGGCACCGGCAGTGCCCTGAACAGTCAGCAGGAGCACTTCCAAGATTCTCGGAGGCTCTCATCAGCAAGCACAAATCAGGAATCAAAGTGAGTGGCTTATGGGATACAGGAAGCAATGAAGAGCATCAGAAAGTGGAAATGCGGGGATAAACTGAAGTGAATATGGCCTGTTAAGACAACAGCAATTAATAGTGTCCTGGGAAAAAAATAATCTGTAAAACACGTGACAATGGCACAAGGGATGGGAGAGGAAATAAAGTGTTCTAAGTCTTTCATAATTTAAGAAGTGTGCATTCAAATTAGGATGTAATAAATCAAAGATACCTAATTAATCTTAAGAGTAGCTGATAAAAAAATACAAGGAGATACAACTGTAAAGCTAATACAGGAGCTTAATAGCTCCCAACTGGAAATAATCCAGCTGCCCATCACTGTGGAGTAAACGAACTGTAGTGTGTTCATGCAATAAAAGATGACACAGAACAGGAAGCAGGCGAACGACTGTTACATGCAATGGCAGGGATGGATGTTAAAAACATTCTGGTGATTGAAAGCAGCTAGAATGCATATAAATAGATTGAATATAAATATTGACCTACTATTTATTCAGAGTTGATAAAGCTACTGAGTGCACTTCCTTTACCCTAAATAAACGATACAGCCACAAAATGACTATTAGACAGACTTTTTCAGTCTGTCTTTCCAATAATTACGAGTTGGAGGGATCTGATTTTCTGAGTCAGAAGAAAGTGAATTATTCCTCCTTTCCACCCTCTCTCCCACCACACCAAACGACCTGGCCCTTGCAGCTTACACCTGGGAAAACATCAGGGGTGACTGAGGACTCCAGGCCCTTCGAACAAGCACTGCCAGCAGGGATTTACTGGGAGAAGAGTCTTCAGTAAACAGTATCAACTCTTCCTATGGTGATGCATGAGCAGTCTCTGCCACCCTTTTACATGAAAGGTGATACCGTCAGAAGTCTACACACGTTACGCCTAGCTAATTAGCCCTTTCCAAATTGGGACCAGGCCTGTCCAGCTTGCCTCTGTTGCACGCTTGTTCCGTCTCAGGGGTCCTGAACCCTGCGCCGTTCCAGCTCTTGACTCTATCTTCCATCTCATCCTGTTCTTGAGTAAACTCATTCACACTTTAGAATAAATATTGTTATGGCTCATTGTTCCAACTCTGCCAGGTCCATGTACAGAAAAGGCAGTGGCAAAAGAAATAAATCTCATGGGTTTCTGTCCTATTATTGAGACACAATCCACATACCATCAAATTCACCCATTTCAACTGTGCAGTTTAGTGGGTTTTTAGTACAGTCACAAAGTTGTAAAGCCATCACCGGTATTTCATTGCAGAATCTTTTCATCATTCCAGAAGCGACCTTGTATGCAGTAGTGAGCATTCCTACCCACCGCCAGCAAAACTAACTACTTTGTTTATATGGATTTGACTCCTGGACATTTCATATAGAAGAAATCATACAATATGTAGCCCTTTGAGTTTATATTTTTCATTTAGCTTAATGTTTTCAAGGTTCATCCATGTTGTAACAGGTATCGGTACTTGTTTTATAGCTAATATTTCATTGCACCTTTGCTTATCTATTCCTTAG